GAGAGCGACATCTAACGTCAGCTGAAGAAGCTGAGCGAGAGATGAGAGTGACATTGAACGGCGGTTCAAGTGAACTGCGCGTGAGGTGAACGGACCAATCAAATAATGCCAGGAGGCGTGGTTTGGGTGAAACCATGCTTCTGAACATTATAGAGAGGCTGTCGATACCCTGTCGCCTTATCTGGAAACTCGCCCAGCTGTGTTTGGGGGAAACGGGCCAACGTACTGGCGTTCCAACTGGGCGATTCTAGAGGCGCTATCGACTTAGACTAGGGACCAACGGCTAGGTGAGAGGACTAGCGCCCCCTCGATTGCCGTCGAGCTGATTGGTGGTGGTGGGGTAACGGATGACCCACCGCCGCTGAGATGTTCAGACTAGGGGGAGAAGGCCCTAGTAGATTTCGAGACAGTGGGTGACAGGCACTGGAGTCGAGCGGATGTAAATCGTCCGGTCCTCGACGATGGTTGTAAGTGGCATTAGTCCATTATGGATTATGGGGGTCCGGTGTGAGGACAAAGTCCGGAACAGCGAGAGAATGGGACGCTTCGGCGTCCCAAACAGAAGGATCGGATTACTTTGAGGACGTGGAGTGTTTTAATTCCATGTTCTCAGGGATCCATCACTTCGGACGAAAGAAGTGGTGTTGGCGTGGATCCGTGGGCCGGGAGTTAGGCCGACTACTGGAGGCCCGAGCGCACGTACCTCCACGACGAGTACTCTGGGTGTTGGCCCGCGATGATAGTGCTTTTACCGCACATTGAGGTTGAGTTGGGGTGGACACAGGTGGGTGAGAACAAGTCTCCGGATGCCTGGGTCACCTGCCTCTCAGTGTTCGGCGCTCCGAGGAGTGAGAAGGATTCGCAAGTGATGGTCGACTTCTCCAGAGTTGAGCCACTCTGGAGAGGAAAGGAATGCGTCAGAGGAATGGAAACATTCTCGGCGAGAGATATATAGGGGAATGGCTCCTGGAAGATACACTTGATCAAAGTCTTTCGGCTGAAAAGACGAGGGTCGATCGAGTGAATTACTCCTAGTATGGTGGACCTCGCCCACTCTACCGTTTTACGCTGATGCTGGCTCAGCATTGTTAGCCCCGCCACGAAAAGTCCTCAGGGTAGACGAGTTATCCTCTGAGGCCGGTTTACCGTTGGATTTTCCGTGAAAATCCAGCTGGCGCCCGACTTAATTGAGCGATAGAGGAGATGCCCAAAATAGTTTAGGATATTTGCTGGTGGAGCACCGGCAAAAATCCTTTACAATATAGCAGACTCAACTTTTTTTTCTCCTTCATAAGTAACTTTTCATTAAATCATTCAATCGAAATTACCAATTTCAATTATAAAAAAATCCAAAAATGAACATCTGGTAGGAAATTTTCTCAATTTTTCAAAAAAAAAATGTTTTTGATGTCATGATTAATTTTATCATTTATTTATCATAGAAATCACAAAAAGAAAGTTGTAATGGTCCATTTCGTGGCGATCGCCACATTTCATTCCATTTTGATTCTTTTCATCTTAAAATACAGGAAATTTTCCATTTGAAATAATCTTGGTTCTGGAAATCAGGAACTTCTTTTCTGTGTGTTTTAATTACCACAGCTGCCTCTCCCATTTAACCCTCGAGAACATGCGGTCCTTTCGACCATCCCCCTGTTTAACTCTTAAACCCGTTTGACCCCTCCAAACACAAAACAAAAACAAAATTCGCCGTTCCACTTCGCCCTGCATTCCACTTTCCCCTACTCTCCCCTAGTTGGATAGATTTTCATAAAACACGTGAATGATTCACGAAGAAATCTACATTAATAAAAAACAAGCAGGGGTTCGAGACTTTTTGGTAGAAGCCATCTGGCTGCTTCTATATGTGTTAACTCTGTTTCTTTTTTTCATTTCTACCAATTCCGTTGGTTCCGAATGGATCTATACCGATTCTTTAAAAAAAAAGGACTTTAATGAAAAGACAGAAAAAGGGGAATATCTCGAACACTTTGTATGAACGGGTATATATGTTTTAATTGATCTGGATAGAGGGCATCAAGGCGAATATTTTGAAAAAAAAAAGTGGAATCGGTTGCGAAGTTTTAGAGATATTCAACAGAATAGATTTTCATAAAAAGTTGAATATCTCCAAAACTACTGGTGTGATTGAGCCCGTCTTCAATACGAACCTTTGTTATCACGACAGGAAGATTCTGTCTACGTTTTAAGTTGATTTCAATTTTTGCACACGTTAGCGCGCGTACAAGGATTTTAATGAAAAAACAAAAAAGGGGGAATAGCTCAAACACTTTGTATGAACGGGTATATGTTTTGATTGATCTAGGTAGAGGACATCGAGACGAATATTTTGAAAAAAAAAAATCTAAATCGGTCCAATAATTTTAAAGATATTCGTGAAAAACGATTTGAAAACGAATCGCTTTACCCCAAAAACTACTTGACCGATCGGGCTGAAATTGTGCAGAGAGTTAGTCCTCATTGAGACTTATAATTTGAAAAAATTTCAAATTTTTTATAATATTTTAACCACTTAATTACTCAATTTTCTAAAAATTGACCATCGGGAAGGTGGCGGTAGACATATTCACATACAGACATGGTCGCCAAACTTCGTATTTTGTATTTATATTTATACGTTTCAGACCATTCTACATCATTTTCAATGAAAATTAGAGAATGTGAAAATCATACGATTACAAAGCTTCCATTTGCAAGCAAACGAAATGTACATAGTGTACATCGGATTGATTTTTTTTCAAAATAAAAAAAAATAATAATTTCTTTTTTGCTTTTTTCTTACGTTTAGCGAGATTTTATAGGTTCTTCTACAACACACTCAATTTATATCAAAATCAATTTGAAAAATTTTTTTTTCGTATCGAAATAGCGTGGAATGCCTCATATCCTCTCTGTCAGCAGAGGTTCTCGATCGCGGAGCGGAATTTAGGGGATGAAATTGGAAGTTACGTTCAACTTCCAATCTATAAGAGATACGTTGATACGATCAAGACAAAATTTGTAGCAAATGTTATTCTAAACATTATGAAATGAATAAAAAATAAATTCATCGATTGGATTGCAAGTTATCAGTACTGACTCTTACCAAATTAGTACTGAATAAAAAAAAAGTTGAAGAAAAATTTTTGGTATTTCAAAATATAAAAAATATATATAATAAAAATGTCAATTATTTCATCGAAAAAAAAATGTTTTCGTACATTCAGCCTTTAAACAGCCTTGGGGGGGNGGGGGGGGGGGGGGGGGTGAACGGTGGGAGATAGGGCTGAAGTGCTCTGGACATTTTTTGTGGAGAACTTGACGCTCTACAACTTTGTATATCACGTTTTTATTCGTATTTCGTGTAGTTTGCGAGTTATTTAGAAAACATCCTATTTCAGCGTAGTTTTCATTTTTTTTCAACCCCTACACAAAATTTGGAAACATGAAACACCCCCACAATGTTTCATCCGACCAAAATACAACTTTTTATGAAAAACGCAAAGCGGTTACCTCCCACGCGTATTTAAATGTACTATTGTTTAGGTGATGAATATGTGGAAAAATTGCCATCTTGAAATTCGCTGACGGTATTTGCTATGCTTATCCGGCTAGACTCTTTTGCACAATTTTGAACGAATATTTTTTTCTTTTTTGGGTGAGAAATTGATTGTTTATAAGTCATTTACGAAAAAAAGACCGTAATTTTCAAAAAATTACAGTTTTTCAATTATGTCATCAGCTACAGCTTAAATAATAAAATGATTGCAAAATTTTTGACAAAGTAGGCTCAAATGGGCTTGAATGTAAGCTTAATGTTCAAATAAAAATTTAGAAGAATATATCAACGAAAAACCTGGCTAAGTACTTAGATATCATTGGAAAATAATTATCCGCGAAAAAATAAGGAGAATAATCATTTTGAATTAATGATTTCGGTCGTCATTGCAGAAAAACATTGGAATGGAGAAAGAGTCTGATGTCTCTGGTGTACCTTCAAAGAAATCCAGGGTTGAGATTCAGTCATTACCGACTAGACAGTACCTGGATCAAACTGTAGTCCCTATATTACTCCAAGCGCTATCGAGTCTTGCCAAGGAACGGCCAGCAGATCCAATTAGTTTTTTAGCAGCTTATCTATTAAAAAACAAAAATCAGTATGACAACGGTGGATCTCCTCCAGTCAGCCAATGAGTATTATCCGGCTCCGAGTAATTTTGTGGCATACCGTAAATAAAATGGACTGATGTCAAACGATGTAATACTTTCTTCGTTTTACATTCTCATCATCAAAAATCCTGATTTTTTTCAGTGATATGACTCATATCATTTGGAGTTTTCGATGTAATCAACTTTTGGTTATTGATGTAAAACGAATTACTCGATTTCTTCATTCATTGAGAGTAAATCAAAACCGTTACGCAAAAATTCAAGTTTTTGTATTTTTCCAGTGAAAACATTGTTGGCTTTGTAATTTCTGAATAATTTTTCCATTGAAAATAAATATAGATAGTTGGTGAGAAATTAACTTTCGTCAGTTTTTTTTATTCTTCCCATTCTGTTCACTAAGAGGCTTTCAATCCGGTAAAAGGAGGATTCTAAAGGCGTCCAGAACGTATCGTCAGATCTTAGAAAATCTAGCAATACGCCAAGTGTTCAAATAGATTACGAGCTCAAATCCTTTTCCATTAGTCACTAACATTAAACGATGAAATAGAGTATGCAATTCACGCTCAACTGCACCGCATTTGTACCTTATGCAGAATAGTCAATATGCCATGGGCACTTCTGTGTACATTCAGATGACGAGAAGATTCGATCATAGGTCAAATCGCTACGACCATAGGTCGCTGATTGCAATTATGATAGCTGTTTTTACGAAATCATGGATCATTCATTTTTTTATGACAATTTAATTCTTTAAACCGCAAGATCACAGAAACGGTTGAAGATAGGGGAAAAGTTTCTAACAAAAAATTTCCTCATTGAAAAATAGATATCTTTTGTCGGATAACTTTATGTGATAGCTATCATAGTTGCGCAGATATATAGGCCAGTCAAATTAGGACTCTATTGTGGCGGAAATCAAAGGATGATAGAAGTAGGATATGAAACATATATTAATATATGTTTCATTACGCATTACGCTGACATAACCACAATAAATAGGATAAAAATCCAGAAGATATGATTTGTAGAGCATTAAATTTCGTACAAAAAATTTCAACCGTTAAGCTGCCAAGCGCAATCAAACTTGAATCACGGAAAAGCTGATTTTCCGCCAACACCGAAAAGTCCAAAAGAGAGACAAGGGAGAGAATTTGATGACGCCTGTCGAACCAAGACAAAACAAGAGAAATCTCACAAAAGACAAAATGTCTTGACAAGAATTGGTCGAGAAAATTTCAAAAAAAATGTAGCGAAACTACTTATATATTTATTTCACATTATTTCAATGTATTGTGTTCGGGCTTGGCTTAGCAACACGAATACTTTACCACAGCACCTCGCGACGATTCGTAATAATTCGGATATCCTCAATCGGATGATTGATAGCGTTGTCGCGAGAGCACACTCTCGTTCCAGCCCTCATGGTGTAAACCAAGTTACATTGCTGTGAATAAATCTTATTCGATATAGTACACGAATTCCGAGTGTTATACGTTACAAAACCTATCTATCCCTCACCGAACTCCTACAAAAAAAACAATTTGAAGCAATACAAAACAGGCACAAAGACCAACTGGAAGAGGCAGTGAGGATGATCACCAGGGTCAAACGAGAGAGAGAGAGGTCAAAAGAGTATTCACAAGAGTCAAATGATCACAAGGGTCAAACGGGAGATCCTCATATTTATTCGCTTGATTATTCTGGCTGCCTCCCGTTTCACCCCTGTGATCGTTTTTCTCTTGAGATTGTTGAGCCTGTCTCCATTGTTCAACTCCTGCGATGTTTGCCCCTTGCAAGTTAACTTTCTTGTGATACTTTTCGAAGTGTCACGTTTATGATTTGTTCAGATTTACCACCACCATCTTTCCATTTATATGTGTTAACATGGGAGTGGAGAGACATCGGGCGAAAACCGAAAACCATTCTCTTATGACGACGACTTTATAGAGATCACGTGACCTACGAAATTCGAAAGTCACCGAGTAAAAAACTGGGGGCCTATCATGAAGAAAAAACGAAGGGATCACATCGGGTGATCACGTGATCGCTTCACCCCGCGGCCGCATATTTCCGCATATTTCAAACAGATGAATACGGAACATGTACTATCGAATTTCGGAATTTCGATTCGGAGAACGTCATGAAGGGGTTATGTATTAAAATTAATTAATAAAGTCAACTTGATAGTTTAATGGAAAGAGTGTCAGGATAATGGTGATTTTTATAAAAATAATTTCTTAACCAATGGTTAAATTTCGGAGTTGATTAGTGTTCAGCAGAGTATTTCTCCGATATATAAGGGGTCGTGAGTTCTTTGAAGGATCTTCTGTGAAAGAGCATTGTAAATAATAAAAATCCTAATCGGCTGTATCCTTGATACAGCCGTCAGATTTAACGTGGATACGTCTATGGACCGAAATCCTCATTGGCAGTATCTTTTTTAACGTAATTCTTCACAAGAATTTAATGTTATATTCAATTCTATACGACTCAATAATTTTATAAAGAATTTCAAAATTGAAAAATTCGTGATTCATAATTAGAACCTGCTTAATTGACGAATTCCATGGAAATACAAGAATTAAAATTGACGAATTCCATGGAAATACAAGAATTTAAAAAAATTCGAATTTTCTAATCACTTTATACTATGAGAAATTGCTCTAAAAAGACTTAGTTGATTAAGAATGCTTTCTATTCATTCGCTCTGTTGGATAAGTAGAAAACTACTTTGATGATTGAGTATGCCAGGAAGCCACTTGTTTGGAGAGGGCGACAATTTTGCCACTCTTGGCGACATCTGTAGATGGCGCTGACGCTTCCTCGAATTGAAACCGGCCAATCAGAGCCCACGGAATGTCAAGACAGTTCTCTGCCCATGCGCACAACCTATTTGCGTCGCAAAACGTTCCAGAACATTGGAGTTTTACGTAGTTGGGGGGTATATAAGGCGGTGGGCTGCCCCAGAGCGCTCACTTTTGATCCAGAAAGCGACGAGGGAACAACCAGAAGCAGAGAAGCTGAGGAGCAGAGAAGGAAAAGCCGAGAAAGGAGAAGGGAGAACGGAGAACCTGAAAATCAACGGATCTCAGATCTACGGAGGAACCAAGGATTTCAAGGTCAGTAGAACCTTCGAGAGAGGTGAGCTTCTTATGAACACCGCTTGACCATCTTGAGGCTAGACCCGAGGCAAATCATCAAGAGGTGTGAGTTCACTGGGTCACCGCATAGTTCGAAAGAACTCGCACCTCTCCACGGTGTAGCAGAGTGCACGCTATGTAAATCCCGATTTGGACTAGTGATTGTTAACCCGCTTCTCAAAGACACTTGAGAACTTTCTAGTCTCAAATCCATTGAAAACTCACATTCGCTGTAAATTTGGAAACTCAATTTCGCTAATAAAAAAATTCTCGCTGTAACCAAGAAACTCAATTCCGCTAAATAGTAAGGAAAACTCAATTTATGCTTGTAAGTATCGCAGATAGATGGCGTGGCTGCATAAGCATTTTTTCGGCGAGTGACCATCCAAAACGAAACCATAGACGTATCCACGTCAAAAAAGCAGCTGTAAATGAAAAATAACAGTTGTAAATTATGGAAAAAATGAATCATCCATAAATTGTAATTAAAAGTTCATGAATTTCAATTATCTATAATCCTAAACTCTACAGTGCCTTGAACTGTGAACATTGTGAGGAAAAGAACTAGAGAAAAGAAGGTTTATTTAAAATTAACTTCATACAGTTCTTGAATTAACAAAAAATTGGAAATGAATGTATTTTTTCTTTAGAAGAAAGGTAAATGAAACAGCTTTATTAATCGTGTCATTCACAGTCACATGCAAGTGTCATGTTGGAATGGACGAAACCTTCCACAATAACATTGTTTTTCAGTAATTCATAAAACTGATGAGGAAAAATGTGATAACTTTTTATAAAATAACTTTCAGAGTCAAATGTTTAAATCTTAAATGAAAATATCTCGAAAGATAAGCTGTTGGAAGTTTGAAATTAATAGAAGGTCAATTACTGAAAAATAATTTGTTAATCTTCAAATGTCCCATTATTAACTCGTTCCCCTTTTAGTTTAATTTCGCGGTCAATAACACGAACAAGATGATAATTTCGAAAGGATTCCCAATGGTTCAGTTTAAAATGATTTCAACACTATATTTTTGTGGGTTAAAGTGAGTTTACAAAATTAATAACCAATGAGTTTCAACTTACATGAATAGTTTCGTTGATCGATTACACTTACGATATCGGTGGACATTTGGCTCCACAAATATTTTCTTATTATTTCAATTATTTCAAATAAATTCAATCATTTTACAAATTCGATCGATAAAATGTATGAGTATAATTGAAGTAAGAATCATGAAAGATTCTATTTAATCAGTATAGGAATCTTGATAGATTCAACACTTTTAAGTGATTAATGAGTCATGAAAGACTTTTCAAAGAGAGTAAAGTTATGAAAAACTCCACGTACTACTTTTATTTTTATTTTTTTATTTTATTGCTTCCAAACCATTGGTTTATTCTGCATACGTACCACTTTAAGATTATTAGGGAATTGATGACGGGATCGCAGTGTAGACTCTCAAAATGAAAGCTCAAGAGTCAATACACAAGGCAAGGGCTGAAGTGCAAAGCGATGGTCGGAGTTACGATGACGCTGAAGACGACTGGTCACAGGTAATGGTGCAAGTGTAACTGATTTCGAAGCTGTGGAGCAGTCTTTATATATCCTCGAACAGCCCTTCTGCTTAATAACAGAGCTCTCCTGGTATTTAATTTCCTCCCTCTAATTTTGACAGGGATGAAAGGAGCATGAGGCATCCTTCGTCTAACGCAGCCAAGATCCCAAGAAATGAGGGATCTCTCCTCTTCGCAACGCTGCTCCCCCTTTGGTAATCCAGATTTGACTTCTCATAATGACAATGATTGCCCATCGATAGGGAGCGTTAATTGATTTGGGTTGTCGTAAATTTGCTGTCGTCGGACTTTTATGATCCCACGTTTCGCTCCGCATTTTACGGAAACGGCGGTTTTCTCAGAATGGAATTTCGTCACTTTTCATGTTCCACTAAATTGATCATAATTGAATTGAAAAGAATATTATACTGTATACTTACTGATAGAATTTTAGTATTGTAATTGAATTCCTAATTGTAAACATTTCTATGTTCTAAAAATGGATAGGCTAATAGACCAAATTATCATTTTAATTGTTCCATAATTCTAATCAAGGTTTTAATTAATAGGTGTCATTTTGTCGTTATAATTTCTATTACCGTTCTGATGGCGGGGGGGTGAGGGTTACCATGTAATCCTCATGATTTTTAATATCACTTTC